GCATACCAATTAGACGGATTACCCTTGGACAACGAGGCCCCTTGACCTAGACCTCCGGTGGGATACCGGACATCTGTCTAGACCTCGGAGGTGGGAACCTGTCCTGATGCTTAGACCTCTGAGGTGGGATACCTGTCTGATGCTTAGACCTCCAGTGGGATACCGGACATCTGTCTAGACCTCGGAGGCAGGAACCTGTCCTGATGCTTAGACCTCTGAGGTGGGATACCTGTCTCTTGCTTAGACCTCCGGTGGGATACCGACCCCTCCTGAACCTGGCTCTTCGGCCGCACAACAATAAGCCGGATCAACCTTAGATACCCAGGACCTCTGTCTAGACCCTTGGCGGGATGCCAAAACCTGTTTATATCTCTTGCTCCGAATGTAGCATGCCTGGGACTACCCGCCTGGACCTTGTCCGTTACAACTAAGCGCTTCTTCCAATCCTCCTAAACCTAGACTGTCGTCTTGGACGTCTATGTCTCTCTCGTGATCTCTGTTGAAAGGATCTGTGGTGTATTCGTTAAGTGTCGCGTTGTAGACACGTTCTAATGTTAAGAATCCTACCGGGTAGGACCTAGCGACAGGTAACAATACTTCTTTGTGCGGGGATAGTTCTCAGACCTGTGTCTACGCGATCCCGATAGTCCAGTCCTACGACTACTATCGCGTTCGCGCCTATCTCCTTACTCTTCTCCTTAGTCCTCGCTTAGGACTTAATCTCTTCTTGTGAGAGGAAAGACACTTATCGGGTTTCTTAAGATAAATCTTAAAGAGCGTAAAGGTAGGTTTTATTGATAATAACTTAAAGGTAGGAAATAAACAAGAAGAACGTGTGAAGAGCTAATACTAGGGGTCCTAGTGACCCTTTATATAATAGCTCTTCACCTGGCGTGACTCATACTTATGCATCACGCGAACCTTGTGACTCATAACTATGAGTCATGTGAAATCCATCAGCCGACTCCTCTGAGTCGCTGCGCAACATACCTAAAACCAATCAAACTATTATAACCAAGTCAGGTGCGCAACTCGCGTCACCTGAGTGAAACCCATGACTCGTAAATGTGAGTCATGTGCGAAAATCATAATATCGTGTGACTCACAACTGTGAGTCATGAACAGGTAGACATAATAACCTATGGCGCACCAATGTGCGTCATATGAAATCCTAACATACCTATAGCTCGGAATTCCGAGCTATGTGAAATCTGCCTTGCTTAGTCACAGTTCGTGACATTAGCTTCCTGAACAATTACAATGATCAGGAAAACTTTCTTGAAAACTGGTCTGATCTTACCGAGCATCACTATTTTTGGGGTATCACCAGGTTAGGCACAGAACTCCATAAGAAGATTTTAAAGCCGCTAGTGCTAGGGGAAACACTTATGAAAAAAATGCTTCTAGTTATGGTCATCACTGACGGAACAGTAAGTTATCTTAATCCAGTACCCCTGCTCGTATCTATGGGCCTATATTAGGATTCCGACGGATTGAAGGTAAAAAGAAGGACCTTCTGGAGAAAGTGATCATAAACTGTGTGAATAGACTGAATCATGACAGACACCTGGAAGCCGATTGTGAGTCTGGAAAATCCTTTGGAGGCAGCACCCATATCTAATTTGGTGTTAAAGTAATTGCTTCACAATTTTCTTGTATTGGGAACGATGAAGGGGCCGGAAAGGTACTGGAGGGTTTTAATAATCGCAGCCACAGCCAGTTTGGCAATTACGTAAGTTGCCAAAAATGTCTGCCCCATGCCATGATAATACAGGACTCGTATACATAAGGGTAGTTTTAACATTCGATGGGGAAACCTTAGTAACTCAAAGCCTCAATCTCTCTGACAACAGGTCATTAATAGTATTATTAACCCGCGCCTAAAGGCCACCTAGGATCCTCTACTTTAAAACCTTGTGCTAATTCTTCATCCCGGCTAGGTGAAAAAAAACTTCTCCTTGGAGCAATACTTGATACAGTAAGTTATCCATAGGTATAATTCATGAAATTAAAATTTTGCTTATTCACTCACTCGTGGGGTAGTATCGTGAAGATGCAACGAAGAACTGGAAGATATCTTCGCGGACATTGAAATAGAAGATGACAAAAGCATAGGTGGAGTTGATTGCCCCCACATTGGGCTTAGCAACATTGAAGATTCTCGGAAGAGTAATAGTCAATTACATTACTATCAATGGAACCCTAGTATATTTGGAAGTAATAATTGACAGAACGCACCCAAGGTCTCTGTCCCAAATGATAATTTAGTATGACAACGGTAATAATGATCATCACATACACATTTTCTAGAATCAGGGCGGTTAACACCCCCCCTCGGAACAGGTCCATGGATATGAAGTCACCCCGCAAGGCCAACTCGGCCACCATCACTGGCGAATCCTCACTATCAAATTGCTCCTCCAACCTATAACTAGGAGGGCCCGTACCTCCAGGGCGATAACGAGGGTTTTTCATATCGGCCGAAAACAAACACCAACTTCGGACCCTTCAATCCGGCTCATTCACAATCGCACTTTCAAGACAACAATTCGAGGTACACTCCCGGAAACTCCAACCCAAGACTCTCGACTTCCCTACCGAGGCCAAGGCGACTCTAGATTGGGCGGATGGTTAGGCAGGATATATCTCAAGAGTCCCAAGAAGAGGCTCGAAGGGTAGTTGAAGAGGCTTATGGGCTGCAGGGGGAGTGATCGGGGGAGTGTGAGCAACCATGGGCCGGGAGGGAACTGGGGAGCGGGGAAAGTTTGGAGAGGGAATGGGGACTAGTGGATCCTAGTCGGAGCACGGGCAAGCGTAGTTTAACACTTGAATTAATTGACACCAGAGCCGGAATATGGCATCAGAAGGGACATTGTTGATACCTTCCTGCTACTTCTCACAGGCATTGCGATTTTTCACCCTTGGGGATACCACTGGTATAATGCGGTATGAATTGATGCATATGTATATGTACCCGTCGAAACTTTCGCATTTGTGCAAGCATAGAACAGTCTGTTTTGCTTAGTCTACGAATTATTGCAATCCCTGTGATACAATACGCTGGGAATCGCGATTCTCGACACATGATAGTAGGAGAGAAAGGAACGGAAGGGCACAACAAACAGCTTTAGCAAATTCGGTGTTCACTACTAAATTTTGGCACATCGTCCGCCGTTCCCCTCCGTTCGTCATCTCCCCTACTATGGTATGGGGCTGTGGAAAAACTCAAAGATACTATAGACAAGTCTATGATAAAAAAACAACCCCCCCCCCTTCACTGTGACCCAGAGCTCTAAGAAAGTCCCACTTTACAGGAACCACACTTGACCAACCCTACAATACACAGCGCACACGATATTACCACAATATCATACCATGTCCTTAACCGCATTCACACATGCACAATGTTAGGAACCCCCATCCCAAAACTCCCGAATTCCCAAGAACCGAGTGATCCGCATGACCCATCTAATCAGATAATCGACTAACCGCTAAACCAAACCCACCAAAAATTTCGATTCGACGAAAATAGAAAGACGAACCAAGCCCCACCAACCCCCAACCACCAACCACCGCTACCAACCAACCAGCCAAGCAACCATGATAACAAAATACCTGACCACCGTGAGCGTCGCCTTCAACCCCTTCTCCAAAGCTGGTCGCACGGCGCGCATATTCATGGCCCTGCTGGGACCATATACGCGCGAGACCATGAAGATTAAGACTACCGTGCTCAATAGGGATAGCGAGGTTGGGGGGAGGGTTGAGGTTCGGTTTAGTATGTTATGTTTCCTTCTATTTCCCCATGTGGGCGCTAAGTTAGGGGGGGGGGGGGGGTATCGAATAGAGGATGGGAAAGAGTTTCAGATGGATACTTCAAAAATGACGATTGCAGATATTGTGGAGGAGGTAGATCGGCATTCGAGGAGTTTGAAGAGGGCGGATGATCTGTCGGGGTAGGGGCTTGCTGTGAGGCGGGTTCTATATTACGGGCTTGGGCTGGAGTTTAGTGGTGTCGGTGTTCGCTATAAAGATGATGGGAATTATGGGGATGGGGCGTTGGGCGAGAGATCCGTCCGGACGGTCGAGACAATATGGGAGAGATTTCTACAAAGGAGCTCAAGGCAGGATATCCTAAAGCAGCACTAATAATACATAAATCCTCTGGCCTCCTACTCCACTCTGCCCCCGCCTAATCTGTTCGCTTGTTTCGTTTGCCCAAGCAAAATTCCCCAACCTAGTCCGCCAACCCAAATCCTAGGCATCTACTAAAAGAAGAGAAGAAGAAAAGAGAGGAAAAAAAGCAATGAGGAAGGATCATCTAATTTTTCTTTCCTTTCCCGCCTGATGAAGTGCCGCCGGCGGATGGCGAGGAGGAGGTTCCGGCAAGGAAGGATGCGACATCAAAGTTGGCTACAGGGTTTGCCCCGCCTTTGCGCTGCTGCGCTTCTAGCTCCGCCTTGAATTCCGGGTCCACTTGTGATCCTTAGCTTGGTCCCAACAGGAGAGGGAGTTAAGGGAGGGGGTGAGTGAACAAACTTTGGTCCATGAGTTTAGGCAGCATGACAATCATGACTAGACTGAAGAGGGCTATAAGAACCATTGGTGATCCGAGGAGCTTCGTAGGATTGACTAAGGCAAGAGTATCAGTCTAAAGTTCAAAGCCTCGCTAGAAGTCGATAACCCACAGCCTTCACGAACAATGTAGTAGTCAATAGGGCGAACTGGTTGGATCTCCTATTTTTTTTTTAAAAAAAAAGGAAGAAAAAAACTCAGGTTAGCCATGATTCAAGCGGCAGATGAGGCGCGAGCAAGAAAACGGGAGGTCGACGAACTATAGGGTAACTCTTCTTTTCTCCTTTATTCCTCCATTCGTTTCCGCGGAATGTCTGGTGCACCACCACTTCCCCTTGCCCGTTGACGTCTACCCGTAAGGGCGCGAACTGGTGAGTCTGACATTGCACATCGAGTAGATATGATCCCTCGGGCACATCGTGAAAGCTAAAGGTGTTATCGCGCCGTATTAGGGTTCGCTTTGCCGTTCCGGTGGTGGTGAGAGTGAGCGAGGTTGAAGGTGGAAGGGTGGACGGATTGGGGAGGAGGGGAGATGGTGCAAAGGTGCCCTGAACATCCAGGGCTGATGCGATGGCTGACAGAAACGACAGAAGCGCGAGGAGTTTCATGGCGAACTCTTTCAGTGGGGGCTTGTTGTTGGTTGCTGATTCTAGTTGTTGGAGTTGGGGGGTTATTTGTCCCGATTATGGCCAGGTTTCTTTCTGGCAGATAAATTTGGCTGTAAGTTATGATATGATATGCTAGAAGGATGAATAAGGAATTGAGGCTGACCATAAGACATCACTCGCCCGCCCAAGACGCCCGGGATGCTTACTCATACGGCAAAGCAAAGGATTCTTATCATACTGAAAGAGTTATTTATCTGATCATGCGTTCACAGCAAGCGTGGGCCCTGCCCAGCCCGAGCTGATCAAGGCGACCCCCGAGAGAAAGAAAAAAAAAAAAAAGGTAAGGGGAAACATCGCTCCGAAACCAATTTATGCGGCGCACCTGGAAGCTTCCTAGAACACCTCCACTACTTCTTATCAACTTTCCTTTTCGTCTATATCGTACTTTGGTTATTCTATGCTATCGACTCAGCAATATCAGATAGCTTCAACTTTCGATTGATACAACATGGACCGTGACCGTGAGAGAGATCGTGAGCGAGAACGGGATCGTGAAAGGGATAGGGACCGTGAGAGAGACAGAGCCCGTGAAAGAGACCGCGACCGCGATCGAGATCGAGACAGGAGGTACTAAATGCCCACAATTCCTTTCTTACTCCCCGGCCCCATTCCCGTTCCTACCCCGCTGAACCAAGAGTCAAAAGTTTCCATGTCGAGATCTCGTGCTCGCTTCCCATCCTTCTCGGATATCCTCGCTGACGGTAACAATCCCAATTATTTTCCAGATTCCGCGACTTTCGTGATCCTTCTCCCCCACGGGGCTTAGATTCCTATGTTCCCTCTTCGGGTAGACGGCGACCCTCACCTCGTTCTCCTGTCAGAGGAGATAGCTGGGTTCCAACGCGTCATGTCCGTAGAGTGAGTTCAAGATCACCGCCGTTCCCAGATAGAGGAGGCCGCTCCCGTACTCCCCCCCGCCGGTCATTACAGTCCCCATCGAGGTCTCCGCCTCCACGCGACAGGGAACGGGACAGAGGGAGGTCCCGAAGCCCGCCCCGACGAAGAGACAGAAGCCGTTCGCTTACACCCGTACGTAGAGGTAATGGCAGAGTGAGAAGCTCACCTTCGAGGTCTCCACGTCATGTACGTAGGCGACGCACACCAACGCCAAACCATTCCCGTCGCGACAGGTCTAGAGACCGTACTCCACCACCACGGAGAGATAGGACCCCTCCCCCCCGTAGGGACCGTTCGAGAGACAAGAGTCCTAGATCCACAAACAAACGAATTTCTTCTCGACACTCACCTATCTCATCTCGCCCCAGGTCTCGCTCCCCAGTGCACCCACCGTCCCGCCGTCGCTCTATCTCCCCCAGATCGCCACCTATCCGTCGGCGAGACCGCTCCCGCTCACCAAGGAGGTATCAACGGTCAAGATCCCCGGTAACTCGTGATAGAAATAGTTTTCGCAGAGCCGATCGGAGAGATAGGTCACTCATTCGTGCTCGCTCACCGCCGCATCGCTACTCCCGTTCGCCAATCAGGTCTCCCGCTGTTGGAAGGCGTTCAGGATCTCCCAGACGTTATCGTTCCCCAGCTCGCCGTAGGGATTCTATTTCGCCTCGCCAAAAATCTCCCCGGAGCCCGGGTTCCCCTCCAAGAAAAAGGGGAAGAATCAATTCCCCTCCGAGTCGAGGCTCAGGTAGACCTTTCTCTCCCCCAACGGCGCCGAGCAGACAACGCTCTCGTACACCAGTTCGCGAATCCGTCCAAGCATCACCGAGGAGTCAGAACAGTCGCCCCGCAAGCAAACGTTTTGGTTCTTCCCCCGTACTACCTGGGGAGGCTCAGAGCAAAGAGAGGGTTTCACCGGCCCCCCCATCTCGTCCTCGTTCCCCTCCTCCAAGAGCTATGTCTCCCCCTCGTGGGCCTCGTGCCGGTGTTTCCCCTCGTCGCCCTTCGGAACCACCGACTGGACCGGCAAACCAGACCGAGAGACAATATGTTCCCAATGGTGGTGGTGGATACGGAGGCCCTCCTCCCCGCGGACCCGCTGGGGGTTCTCGCCCAATTCCTCCCCGTGGACCAAGCTCCTTCCGTCCCAATCGTCCGATGAATAACGAGCCACCGCAACCAAATTCGGGTCCCCGTCACCAGTCCAGCCAGTCACCATCTTACCATTCACCACGCCCACCTCCGACTAATCCCCCAACTCAACCTCGGGGGCCCGTTGGTGGCCCCCCTCCGAGCGGCCCTCGTAGAATGTCGACTGCACCATCCCGTAGTGGATCCACGCCTCCCGCAGCAACTGTCCCACTGAACAGCCAACCGGTTGCACCTCCTGTGGGCGGCATCCCGACAGGCCCTCGAGCCGGGAATTTTCCCTACCGGAGTAGCATTCCACCGACTCATCATGTCGTTCACCACCACCCTCCGGCCCTGCGCGCACCACCTGGCCCCGGCACTCTTATTCCTGGTGGTCGTCTTCTCCCCCCTGTCGATAAAGCTGCAGATGATCGCCTCGGCCGCCTACAACTTGACCTAGCAAAGCTAGATGAGGAGGACAAGACCACCCAAGAACGAAAACGTAAGTCGTTTTACGGTTGGGAGAAAGCGCATCGCGAGTCAGAGAGAGAAGCATACAAAGTTGAACTAGCTGAGAAACAATTGATCAACGGAGCATTGATGGATTGAAACGAGTAAAGTGGGATGATTCGCTATGTTTGTCTATTCAATTTATCACTGGTTCCTTGATGCTCTCCCTTTTTTTGTATCTTTGAATTACCCTTCTTATAAGTTACTCGCTTTGTCTGCGTTACCTATCCTCTAATAATTCCGGGCCATAACCCGTACCCCTTCCCCCAACTTCTTTTTAACACTTTTTCCTTCCCCTTGCCCCCTTACTCCCAGTCTTTTTTCTTCTTTTTTTATTCAGCAAAATGGGATGATGGATGGGTTTATCGCTTTAGTTTTGTGTGCAAGTTTTTTTCATTTTTTTTATTTCACTTTACCGGTAGTCTTGTTTCTGTTTCTCATAAACCCTTATTCTCCGGGGAAATGACTAGCTAGGAGGGAACTGGATAACATACGTACGATAATAGAGCGGTGGCCAGGATCGCGTCCCGCCATTTAGTATCTGATATGCCGGCAAACCGTCTCATGTGATAAATACTCTACGAGTAGAGCTGACAGTTGGGTGCCGTGAAATATTGGGTCGCTGTTTTCTTTTTTCTTTTTTTTTTCTTTCGAATTTGATTTGAGGCTTATCTAATCACCATTCCAAATATCTATCACTCGGCCATTCCAAATGACGTACGGGTAGAGGAGTTAGACAGGCCACAAACTCAGAATATTATGCACAAGCGCTTGTATCCCTACGATCATGATAATTACCGCTATGGCACGGCCACACGGTCAGGTCTTGGACTAGCACAGCACTGCACCCTACCGACCGGAACGGTTCATAACCATACCGATCCCGGGGGCGTGGAAGGATACTACCCTAAACCGAACCGCACCATGCCAAGCGGCGCTCTGCCGTGCAGTGAAGCGCAGTGCGCCTTACCGTATTCTGCCAAACCTCCCTAACGAAGACCTACAACGGGGACAGATCCCCCCATCAAGTATCGTACTCGAGCACATTGAAGCCAAAACACCCCTAGGCACAACAACAACAGACACCCGAAGTAAAGACCAGACCCGTAACCCGGTATGATACTAGCACACCCGTGGAAGGCTTCATTGGGTTTCAGCGGCGGAAGAGATTGTTGCGTGATTAGGGCGTTCAAATAGACGTATATTCTGATAATATACTGTGTATTTGCCCTCTCATTTTAATCTTTCCACCAAGTTTGAAACCTATGGGTGAAGCATGCTTGAGGCAATAGAAATCAATCCCCCAGTATCGATCATAACATCTCCAGTTGCAACTGGGATTCAAGTTTTCATTGAAGGAAGTTTCAGGGGATCTAAGATGCCCTGAATGGAATAGGACGATGAGATAATGATCACCTTGTATCTATAAACTCTCCACTTTAAACTAACGTGCTTCTCTTTTCCCTTACTTGCAGTCAATTCTTGAAGTACAAAGATTTAAGGGTCGAGTAAGATACGTATGATATTTTAGAATAATATACGGGGTTTAACCCGTATAATACGGTATTATACAAAATTGTGTGTGCGAAAAACAATCTCACGCCCTGTGCGTGATGGATCGGGTGGGTTTTTGTTCTTGTTACCGGTATCATATCATATCATACCCCCGTTGGTCAGTGATGTGCCTGTGCGCTATCACACCTTCGAGGGCTGGTTTGTACGGTATATACCGGTACTCGAGTAAGGTAACTTGGGCCTTTGCAATTCCGAGGTTGGGCCAGGTTAGGTGTGCTCCGTGCGGAGTGCTTTTTTGGAGGGTGAGGGTAGGGGGGTGGCGCTCGGGGATTGCCGGTTGATCCTAAAGGTTTGGGCAATGAATGGTTGCGAGTGATAATACGTGTCTGGACCACTTGGGTTGCGTGATCGTCGAGGTGGTTGGGAGGTTACGGTACATTCTGAAGGATTCAAAAAAACTAAAGCAAAGCTAGAAACAAACGAATATATTCTCTTTTTTTTAAAAAAAAAAACAACAAAACAAAACAAAACAAATGAATAAAGAAAAGGCATAACGCAAAGCAAATCATAAGTGTCGTTATTTCTTCTCTGGCGATAGTGTCGTATTCGCCAGCCCACGTTTAACAGTTTAATCAGTAATCATGCCCTTCATCGGTCCATCACTCGCACACTCAAACCCGGACAACCGCAGTCCTCACGAAGGCTAACCCGGAAAGGTCAACTACACACCGCCCGCCCCAGGCCTCAGCCAACCTGCTAGCCAGCCTGGCGGTCCTCAACCCGGTAAGTACCCCCTCATCCAAGCCCGAGATGTCACCCTCATAGAACAGCGAGTCACCCCCTTCCTTCCTATCCTCGTTGGAATAGTAATACTTTCCCCCAACCTTCATCTCTCTCAACCCGGGCAATTTGACTGGTAGCATGGCAAGCCACTCCCTGTCCATCCTAGTCCTGACTCTTAGCTCGCTGAGGTGCAAAACCTCCAGCTTCCCCATTGCCCCTCTGGCTTCTCCCCCTTCCGTCAGGAAGAGCATCTGTGCTACCCCCGAGGAAACCCCGCTACGCACGTAGTCCCCCCCGCCCGGGACTTCGTACTCATAACCACGCGGGTCGAAAATCGAGAAATTGGGTTTCGCGCGGACGTTGCGGGGGAGCGAACTCAAGTTCAGCTCTAATCTGCGGAGGTTATGGCCCTGGCAAAGCGCCTGGAGCGTACTTGCCAGGTGAATGATTTCCAGATGCACTGGGCGGAAGTGGGATAAGACGGCGGCGCCGTTGTTCCAGTTCTTGAAGGTTGATAGGTTCGTGGCGTGGGAGAGGAACTCGATGAGCCAGTTTGTCCACGCTCGGTGGGTTTCTGCCATGGCTTTGGAGATGGAGTCTTCGTTTGCCGCCTGCTCTGGGGATAGCTTCTTGTCGAAAAGGCGGAGTTCTAGAGATGTGAGGATTTCTCCTAGCTCGTTGAATACATCTCCCCTACTAGCTGCCGCAAGGGTGGGGGGTTCTTCGCATTGGTAGAGGAGACGCTTGTGCTTGTATGTCGAGAGTTGGTCCGCTAGGAGGGACTTTGCGCGGGTTATGTCTTGGAGACGTTGTTGCGGGTCTGCCGGGCCAGAGAAGCCGGTTGCCCAGTTTACGTCTATGGTTGTTGGGTGGCCGTTGGAGAAGGAGTCCATGATGGGGACAAAATGGGCTAAACCCTCTGGTATCGCTTCGTAATTTTGTAAGGTCTCAGCACGGAGGATGAGCCCCCTAGTCTCGGAATTGTGGAATTTCCAGTGGGAGGTGGAGCAAAGTTGGATGATTCCCCGCAAGTCTTGCCAGTCGTCGGGGAATCCCAGTGGCCAAGTCACCGATTGGAGTTGAGGGAAGTGCTCTTTGGAACCTAGCAGCTGCAAATCGGAAAAACCGTGCCCAAAGGGTGGGAGCTCCAGTGTCAAAAATCTGAGCTTGCTGCCGAGCGTCTTTGAGATTATTTCAAAGAGATTCCCGGGGATTTCATAGTGCATTAGGTAGTGGTAACAGATCTTGATGCGTTCGACCGACTCCAGATGCCCAAGGAAGTACTTGAGCACTTTCCCAGGAGCTGGGCTAATCCTCACTGTCTTTAGGCGGCCGAAAGACTCCCGGCAGGATTTTGTAAGGTACTCGAGGACCTCACTGGGGTTCCTATCTTCAAATGGAGACGTGTCTTGCTCTGGGAGATTCGTCAAATCCGGAATATCCCGATTGAAATATCTCACAGAAGGAGGAAAAACTCACCGCAGGAACCAGGCCTGGAGATCTCGTGGTTCTTCAAGAATTCACTAATATCCAAATATTCTACGCGGGGACACTTCTGCAACATCTCTTTGGCGTCCATGACGTCTAGATTGTAGTTGAATGCTAGCGTTGTCACCATTGAGAGTGTCTCCTCCGACATGCTCCGGATATGCTCGATTCTCAGACCCCGGACGGCGCTGAAGTCTCCAGTGGTACTCCTATATAGGAGCCGGCGAGCAGAGACATAAAACACCTGAGAGGTGCGACACAGTTGCGCCAGGTCTTTTGGAGAGAGGCATTGGATAATCTCCAGTTGGAGCTCAATGGTGAGGTTTGAGAAATTAGACTTTATGGGAATAGGTCAGCATCGATTCTCGAAAACTTCACTTTATAGACGGTGTCCGCCGTTGCTTCGGAGGGTCCTAGGCAAAATTGGTTGCCTTTCTGACATCCGTAGAGCATCTCCGGTGATAGTATAGGGCGTATTGGTCGATTGTGATTGACACGCAGCGACATGGCTTCACGCAGAGATACTCGATAGGGCACCAACGACCACCATAAATACCACCATTTCGGGAGTGAAGGGAATCTCACCATTGATTCTATGCAAAAAAACGGAAACCCAAAAACCAAAGTCCGAAGGACGATAAACAGTGGCAGTAGTGACGATGATAGTAGTGGATATAGGCCGAGGTGTAAATCTATGATAATGACACTGAATACCTGAGTCTGCTCTATCCTTCCAATTTAAATATCTTCAAACGAGCCAGTCCATACCATTCATTAAGTATTCAGTCCATCGGTCCTCCCACCGAGTGAGATGAGGTGAGGTCTAATCTGACCCTAGCTCGAACCCACGAGAGAAACAAGCCTGGGTCTATCGAAAAGACAAGTGCCTCCAGCAGCACCATCACCATTGTCACCCTCAAGACCTGATACCACTTCGAAATAGAAACCGTATACCAAAGCACAAATGGTCTGGACGTCTGATAATGCTGAGGCTAGCTCCATACCCCCCCGGGCACACACCCACTCCCTTCCCGTCAAACTGCCCAACTCCTAAGGCCGGTCTGTGTATCATACTGTATTCTCACTGGGTAGGTAGGGTTGTCAGCTTAAGTCCCAATCAAAAACAGCACAAGCCTACGGATAGAGAGAGAAGAAGCCACAGTTTTCCAAAAAAAAAATCAACAGGCTAACGGGTTATCCCTCACTAGAGGGGCACTTAACAACTCACTCCTTCACCCGTTAGTTTTCTTTCTTTTCTCTTCTCGTTCGGATGATAAAGTTTAATTGGCTTTTGGGAGGAGGATATCCGGGGTTCGCCCGTTCCCACGCGCCACGGGAGGGAGGGAATGCCCGCTAATCCGCAACCGAATTCGGTTTTGGTACTGTGTAACAAAAATATCCAAAAGTGTTTTATTGGGCAGGAAACAATGCAGAGAACCATACGGTACTGTACGGTAGTACCATACGCTTGAGCAGCAAACCCGGCCTAGTTGAAGAACGCCTGAGTTATCAGCGCGCTAAACGAGAATAACAAACTCAGCCATCAGTGGCCGAGTGACTTCGCCTCAGTCCGCAGTCACTCAACCACACTTTCTTTTCGGCAATAGTCTAAAGAAGCTCAAGTCGAGCTGAGCAATTAGTAACGGTTAAGGAAAGAAAAAGCCCGAAAGCTTTGATGGCCAGTCATCAGGCCCAGGGCGAAAAGGATTCCCGCTTATGGTGGTTTTCACCTGAAATAAGACCAGAGGAGAAATAGTCGCAAGGATGAAATATTGAATCGACCCTGCTTACCCAGAGGATCTATTGGCGAACATACTTTGCCTCGGGCGTTCCCCCCACCCGACAAATGAGATGGCGATGTTCCTATGGAGCTGGAAGTTGTGTTTAACTTATTGTGCGGTGTGCCGACACTTGTCTGGCTACCGATGCCAAGGTTCCTACTAAAAGGTTATTGGACTCTCGATCTCATAACTGCTAGAGGCCAATCGTTACTGGTAGAGTCGAGCACTAGCATAGCAGTCAGGCAAAACCGTGGTTCGTCCAGACCTGGAACGAACCCGCTACCGGGGCCGCGCCCGTTAACCAGAACCAGTCAAAATAGCTTAACCAGGTAGCTTCATCGTTGCCGTCCACCATTACGCCGGAGCTCCATGCCCCATCATTGGCACTCGCTGGATTCAAATCCGGGGAGCCCGAAAAAAAAAACAATTAACGTAAGACTCCCATCTCAGCCTTATTTAGGAAAACTTGCGGCTTGAAAGATTATTAAGCTACTATCTAGTGGTCAGAGTGGGCGTGGTAGAGGTTTTACAGATTTCTAAGAAATAAAGCAGTGGAGCCGCATCTGGACCGCACTCGAGTAGACTTCCTATTTCCTCCTCTCGCTGACTTCCTATTTACTTATTTCCCTGCATATTTTGAGAGGAGACTTCTCATGACAGACACTGCCCCGCCCCTATAACTCCCAGCAAACAAGGCATGATGATTCAGCTGATGGTACCTGAGCAAAGATCAAGGTCACATGTCAGCGAAAGCACAGCATTACTGAGCCTAAGAGATGAGTACTAGGGCACAGAGGCGCAAAAATGCATCTACTATACTCACAATTGATACAGCTTCAGACGGTCACCGTACTCTTCTACCGGCTCTGATTTTGGAACAATCTTATGATACTCGTTGAAGAAGCCAGTTCCGAACCCACCAAACATCTTCATGATCCCCATTTCGTACTCATTGTGAGCATAACACGCCTTGCCAATGCCACAGATCAATATCGATATAGATAATCGTGCTCCAAATATATGTGTGAATAGCTCACCGAAGGATCGTAAATCACCTCCTCGATTGCGCCATCATCCTGCATTTCACGAATAATTCCTCTAGAGGCATTCCCGCTCCACAGGTCCCCATGTACAAGTGAAGGTTTGATGTCTTTCAAGTTGCCCAATAACCTCGGGACAACCGTTTCCACCGTTCTCTCGACGTACCGCCTCAATTCTGAATCGGGACCATTCTTGCGCTCGCTTTCTTCAAGGATCACCATAAGGCGTCGTTTCCCAAAGAAATCAGCCCAGGTGTCCTCCCAGGTGTTATCCTGAACCGTAGATCCACAGCAAGTAGGAGTGGGGAAACCAAACTTCCCCGAATACTTCTCCGGGACAGGCGCACTATGCAGTCTCGCGATCTTAGAAGCTAGAGATTCGCCCCTAGAAGGCCCTGAGGGGAGGAGGTCCAAGAAATCTGTAGCTAGATAAAACCGCTCCGAACCTTCGCCAAGCGGCCCATGTGAGAATGCCCTAGGACATAAGGTCGGTACAGCCTCTTGTATCGCATTTAACGATTCATACTCCCCTTTAGTAGCGCATAACTGATTAGCACAATTCACAGAACATCAATATAATACTGGGACTTCTATAACAGCAAACCTCGAAACATAATCTCCGCATCCTTGCCAGTGCCCAACTTCACAAAGAGTATCTTCTTCCTCCCATCCCCAATGTCGGTTTCAATCTTGAACGTAGATGCAAACCCGCTGCCTCCGTGAGATTTCACGGTCGAGGTACTGGGACTAAGCGACAAAGCAGCGAGGAGCGCGGGGGTGACGTTTGCCCTTATCATCCTAATACCCACTGGTAACTTTACCGTCGGTTGAGGGCCTGGTACAGTACTCGAGTACAGTTGTCGGTGTGGACTGTGGAGGCTCTCCAGAAGCCGCAGCAGGTGATGTCATAATAGTATTATTAAGAACAAGGTCAAATTTACCGGTGTATGGTGCAGCAACGGATAAGTGTGAACCTCATTTAGGGGTGTGTTCAAGGTGGTATAACTAACCTCATACTAGCTCAAATCATATAAAAAAATTATACTAATGCAGGCAAAGAGGATCTGAATAAAAGTACGGTCTTTTGAATTACTAGAGAGGACTGAAGAGGATGGTATACCCCATTTAAAAGCTGAAGATTTGGTGTAAGATTGAGGTCTTGGCATTCAAATGTAACCTGAAAAAGCTGACTAACCATACACTACAGAGATAGATAGACTTCTTAAAAACCAACAAATACATACCAATATGCTAAAGCCATTCTGAATGATGTGAGTATATTGGAAAGGTATTGCTTATAGTATATTAGACCTCAAGGACAAATTTTCAAAAATATATTGGAGCTATCAAAGTGTGTGAAACTCTCAATCTATCATATTTAATTAATGTACTTTAATATCTTTTATCTCTTATTATATATTACTCACTTGAGTTTATAAACTTATTACTCACAGTCTTGATAATTATGTTGCACAGCCACGGTTGCATTTTTGCTGTGCCACATGGTTCACATTCTTCAGTTGTTGCACCATACCACATGTACGATACAGTGCGGTACTCGTACTGAAAACTACGTACAGCCAAGGAGTGTATGTCACGTGATAGCAAACTTCGTTTGTTCTCTAGGATCAGAGAAGTGAGAAACACAAATAGGGAGATCCAAAGCCCCCAGCCCAGTTTGTACGCTACGAACCGAGTATCATACACAATACGGTCGCACCCCGTTGTCCCGGACCTCACTCTCCCGGATTTTCCGTTCTCTCGGACAATATTGTCCCGTATCATACCAGAAACACATAGAAATACACCTCGCTGTCCCCGATTAGTGGTATTTTCGGACCGGATAAAATTTTCTGTTTCCCTAATCCCTGCCTGCATAGAAAATATGTTCAGTATCCCGGATATTCCTGCTATTCCAATCCAAACCCAACGTCACAGCTGTTCAAAGGCATGGTCAATACTACGATTAGTCCACCTAGTAGGAATACAAGTCGAAGGTTTCCTCCTCTTCTATGTCCTCCTATTCCTCCCATTCTTCGTCACTATTGGTAGAATCTATGATGCATACTGGTCCATGTGCTGGACCATAAGTCTAAGTGCTACCTATCAGTGAAGATTTTCAAGTTAAAGAAGGGGGCCAAACCATGGATGACTCAGAACTTTTACCTATCATACTAACCTGCATAAATGTATTAGTTACTGACTCCTGCTGATCAGATATCGCTTGAAAAAGAAGTCGCCATTTCATTCTCCCCGACATTTCATTGTCCCGGACAGCCCACTCAGGATCTTGATCATCCGGGACAACGGGGTGCAGCTGTATACCCCGCAAATACAGGTGTACTTCTTGAATAAATTGACCGTGCCTCTGTACTGGTATGCTGCATCCCTCCTCCCGAGGAGGTTTGCTGTGTAATTTCCAAAAAATACACCTCTACCGAAACACCTGTACCTTCCGTGTACCGAGAGCTTTGAATCTCCATAACAGCCTACATGTGCTCGTCTCTCCCCACCAAGAATGGTCACCCCTTCTAGAATAGCCCAGTTGGACCCACAAAAGGCGTCCTCGAGTAGTGTTTGAGCCGTTTGAAGAACCGTGGTGGTAGCGCAAGATAAATGGTATCATACATGTGAAAGTGATATCGGAGATAGGACAACACCTCCTCCTTCCTATATTGTTAGCAGTATTGCAAGTTTCCCGAAATTGAATGAGCGCATTAGTTTCTCTTGAGGTGGAAGTATTTACTGTGTGTAGAACCAAACTTGAGAGTTGATATCGTGAACAGTATGGCAAATAGAAGCAGCCTTACCAGTGCGACCAGAGGGTTCAATCAAATATGCTATCCTAGTGCTGTGGAACTGGAATAGGAGCAATATTTGCTCTCTAGATACTAGTATATAGTGGCGATGCATCCTCCTTTAGAAAGCAGCTTTGGCACTATGCTCTCAATGGGTCCGGCGGGGGGGGGCTATTCCAAAAGAGATGACCATTCTTAGCGTGGAGGCACGAGTACGGTACTGGTAGAGGGCTTGTACAGTCTAACCAAGGTGAAGCTACGAAATAACGTGCCCAAAGCCTGTCCCTCGCATCAAGAGTCCATGAAACACCCCGACAAATGTCGTGCTGGTTAGCCCGGATCCTTTCAAGAGGCCATGCAGTGGCCAATTTTCAAGCATCTTGTAACCGCTCCTGCTGAAAATAAACTTAAGGATCGCACATGCAGGGCCATATCCTGATAAAAGCATAAAAGTGCAGTAGAATTCAGCACTTAGAGCCCCCAGTCCCAGGTCCAGTTTCATAGCTTTTTACACCCGTACCAGGTGGAGATCTAGGAACTAGGTCGCCAAGCTTGGCCATTAACTTACCGGTATGATATATTGCCGCCGGGGTCCGTCCACGCAAGCCCTCTAATCCATTGTATGATATGATACCATGTAAGACGGGGCGGTGGGACCGACGGGGCAATACCGCGTCTCCGCAGGTATGATACCCGTTTAAGAAATGCCGGTAAGTGAATTAGTGAGTGAGTAGGGCTTTACTCCCAGCAGCCGGAACCGGGATCTACTATTCCAGGCGTTGCCCCACCCGTCCGAGACAATTTCCTGCCGCATTCTATTACCATACTTATCATACCCCCCGCAGCCGAGTTGAAGCCGTATACCGTAGGGTGCGGTGCGGTTATGGGGGAATTGTCGTCCCGGGCGTTCCAGCTTCAACCCGGCCGCACGAGCACAGGTACCGTGAATTCGCGCCCGCAGCCTCCGCTAGCTTATGCACAATCTACCCTGCCATCTACCGGTACATACGGTCCGGGCTGAAGGTACCGGCTGATGGTATCATACCGGTAATGCCGGTAGTGGACAACGGCCATGATTCACTACCGGCACCACAACCTTATTTCGGAAACCTGCCTATGGCAGTCCAACCGGAGCTTTGGGATTCCACTTAAAGGTCGTTGAATTCACATCTCGGGTACGGTACCACGAGGCACGGCATGTAGTGGTGAGATTGTTTAACCGGAGGCCTTCAGACCCGAAAAAATGCCCAACTTAAAACCGCAAAAACCCCTTAATAACAGCTTTTATTTTAGCATCTCCTCTAGTCCTCGACAAAGGAATAGGCTGGGGGTTCAATACACGTGGAACCCAAAAAACACTTCGGGGATATTAACCTTTGGGTGAGCTAGATCCCCCCCCCAGTATGAGGATTTGAAGTTAGGTGAATCGCTTACGATACAGTAGCCTGTAAAGTCTTCGGGAAAAGATAGGTGCCACCTTTGCAGAGCCTTAGCGGCAGCGAACTGCTGGTACTGTACTCGTACTAGTGCAGTCAGGGCAATTGCCAAATATTTGAAGTCCAAATTATGCGGCGCAACAGACTTACCCATCGACTCACAGTCGTAGCTGTAAAATTCACTTGTACTTCCCATAGTAGACCCGTAGGGGATGACCATCGAGGGTGGTATTATTGTTCAATATAAAATTCAGACCCCGCAGACATGGCAATACATTGTACTGTACAGTACAGTACCGGTACTTTCGTTCCCGCCAGGGCCTTGCCAGGGGGAAGCGAGTTCTGCCAACAGAGAACAATCAACCGATACGGCAGATAACCGCATTGTGACAAGAGAATTCTATGCATTACTCGGCGAAATAGCTATTGCTCCTCTTCAAGGCTTCTCCAGCTAACAGACCGGATATCCTCCATGCCCAACCCTCCCAGCATACCGTAAGAACTCAAGCAATTAATGCTCGCACCAGGACGCCGGACTTGCCTCTACTAGAATGGTCCGGCACATTTTTGCCCCAAGCCGGGGCCCAGGGGGTGAACTTTCGCAGTGTTTTGGCCCCCCTATCCGAGAGAGGGAATTTTGGACGTCCCAGCGGGGATACCAATTATTAGAGTTCTTATGGTAGCGCAGCCAGATCCAGTCCATATACCAGAAATCTGACATGCGACACAAGGGTCGGGAATAAAAAGTGGGAAGGGGAACAAGCGGAAAAAGGTGGGACAGGGCAGGGGTGTTTGTGTCGACCATGGCCAAAATTGGCTGCACGGGTATCATATCCTACAAGCATGAGATCCGAGGAGATGTCTTCGAACAAGACAGATATGATATTATCCTTCACGTTAACCTAAATTAGCTGTTCACACTTGCACCCATACGCCCGCAACCGGCTCGTTCCTGAAGATCCAAACCTCTCATCGTTTAGCAAGAGAATGGAAAGAGTCCAGGACCTCATCCACCAACTACCGGAACCGTATGCAAGTACGCGAGCACGGTACCCGACACGAAGGACCCGAACCTTCGAATCTGAATTTAGCATCGGCGCTCAGATGTGCAGACAATTTGCCGGACAAATATCTTTTCCCCTACGTTCAGATTCACTTGCATCTCTCCAAAGTTGAGGAGGCAAGAGGAAATCGAGATCTCCCGAGGGTGAGGATGCTTTCCCTGGCGTGCCACTACTAATACTACTGAAATTTCAGTTGCAGTACCGCTACACACCATACAAGCACCGTTAAATTATCGCTGACCCCTGTACCCCAACCTCAAGGGCATGTCGCCATGCTACGGGATGGAATCCGTATCACCGAATGGTCGTCGTATGTCGTAATCCTCCGTGTGACGTTTCAAGCCAATTTGCCCAACCCAAAACCGTGCGTGCCCACACAATACTGCACCGGGGAAAGGCCTTTGGCGGGGTAGCTGTCACTTTCGGTCTATCGTACTTGTGCCGGGGGTTGAGGGTGGGTGGGGCGAAGATCAATTTAGCCACTCAGGGAGCTGTACCTGTATATCGTGAAACCGCTACCGCAGGGGCACGGTAGAAGGTTCGCCTGACTTCTTCAATCCTCAGAAAAAAGAAAAAGAAACCCCTTCCCCGGCTAC